ACAAAAGTAACTGAATCGAGCACAGGGGAGGATGGGGAGAAATAAACGGCATATACTCGCACGTTTGCAGATTCATTATGAGAATGTATGGCTAGCGGTACAGTGTGATGTTTCTCCACTAGGTGCGGAAGCAGAAGAATATACAGATCTCATATGTTCTTTAATCAGTTGAGTTTAATTATGTATTTAAAGAGTGGAGGCATAGCTTGAGTATGCCAGCCAGACTCTTCAATATAGCAGCAATATAATATAAAGAGGCGATTTTGATGAAACTTAAGAATAATTAAGACTCATGAGTACAAAACATGGTAAACAAGAAATTGCTTGGTACTTGGATTGGAGCCAGAGAATAAAATTACTTTTTCTTGGTCGCTTTTATTTCCACTTGGTACTACTTATATTTGATTTGGCTTCCACGACAGCCACAGCAGAAGAGCTCTGCAGTTGTTGCCATTTATTTGGGTTTATAAATAAATCTTTAAAAAACGATTCCCCGAAATAGTATTTTGTAACTTTTACTCATTAAATATCAATGAAGAAGTTATTTGTTTGGATACCATATCCGCTGGCATCTTCCAAACTTTTAAAATGTAATTGCATTAAATAAGGTTTAGAAATAATAAACTTTAAACTTAAGAAAGTTGTATTACAGCCAAATATTCCAAATACATTAAGGATTCTCTAAAAAATATCTCAGCAACCCAACCAATCAAAATTGATCAGTTAAAGAGACTAAGCACTTGTTGCGGTCAGGGGATCCCAGAACCATTAGGATCTGCTTGGATTCATTGAGTCATTGAGTTTAGATAATGTATTTAACTATGATTTATCAAACGATCTACTTACTTTGTTGATACCAATTGAAAAGTAATTTAATTCGAATTGGGCTGGAGGAGAGATGAATTAGTCATCGAATTCCTTTTCATGATTCGACGAATATTGCTGATTTAGGTTCAATTTACTCCGTTTATATGTGAATATATTATTTATTCCCTTTAAAGAAGAAAATGAATTTTATTTGTCATATGTATTCAAATACTTGTATCATGCATTATTTTCAAAGTGAACCTCCTAGGTACTACGATATTTTAATTAACAAATTTCGCTGGTAATTGCATGTATCATTCAAACCGAATGACGTCTATGAATCGAATGATTTTAGAATTACAAATCAGGTTTACAACGCCCAAAACTTGGTATCTGATTTCCGCCTTAAGCCCCTTGACACCAAAAACCGGAACAGACAATAGGCAGACATTAGGATAGCTAATGATTTGCTCAAAAGCAAGTGTGCGGCTCCTTTTGGGAATATCTATATACTCGAAAACTGCTTCTGATATCTCTATTAAACTCCCATCTGATATGTAAGATAACGATATATATACAGCACAATAGGTTTGATATTCGACTCATTCTGCTAGGAGCGTCTGCATACCAAGTTTGAAATCCAGACGTTCATCCAGACAGGCAGACAGACCGACGGACGGACGTGCCTAGATCGATTTCTCCCGTCATGCTGATCAAGAATATATGTATATACTTTCTGGGGTCAGAGATGCTTCCTTCTTACATACTTTGCACAAACCTAATATACAATTTTTACCCTACGGGTACAGGGTATACAAACAATTGAGTAAGGTCTCATATTTTTGGGGCAAAACGTGTAATATTTTGTGCACATCGATTGCGAAAATCTGTCACTGTGGACGGGTAACAGATCGGAAACGGCGACGACGGCTGTTTATGCTTGGCGCACGTCGCAGACAAAATTGAGGTTAAGTGACGCAGTCAAATGCGTGAAAAATGGCAAGAGAACAAACAGAACGTGCGCGCAGGCGCTTTGTCGATGGGTTGGCGGGCAAGTCCACGAAGTAGGGAGTTGGCCAAGGCAACGGAACTGAGGAGCGTAGGATCGCTGCGTGACGGCTTCTTCAAAACGCAGCCATCGTCGTGCTTGTGGTCTGCTGGAGTTGGTTGCCTGATTAACATGCAAACATTCCTGCGATTGGTTTTGGGGTCATCGTCATCGTCAACTGCAAGTGCAACTGCAACTGCAGCGGCGACGTCAACGCTACCGCTTACCGCTACCGCTTACCGCTACCGCCGCAATCGTTGGCCGCAAAAGTGACGTGACGGTTGTCAGTCAATGTGGCGCGGGCGTGACCTCGCCGGCTATAATTAATTTCGTTAAAAATCGGCACTGGCACTGCACCATTACACCATTACACCTTCGTTGAAGCGGACACCTGTGCGGTAGCTTTTGCGGCCTCCTCTTGCTCCATGCACCCAAAAATGCAAGGTCCATGGCAAACTTGTTGCTGCCGTTGGCTCAAACTGCCATTTGCTCTTTGCGGGCAGCCTCTAATCCGCTGGAATGCCAGACACGCTAAAGTGGCGCACCGGCCGACTGACTAGCTGGCTTGAGGTTTCATTTTCCAAGCCAAGCCAACAGCTAGCACGATGCGTTTAGCTGACTGCCTGACGTTCCATGTCTCGGCTCTGCTCGGCTCGGCTTGTCCGCTAAAGTGTTAACATTGCTGGCAAAATGTCAAATGAGCGCCTGGCAAACGGGGTCACCAATCTTTGGATGCCAAGCAAGTATGATAAATGCATGCCACGAGCATATGTATGTGCTTGCACTCGAATCCCATCAGGATCCGTTGGTGAATTGAATATGGAAGTTTGTTGGCATTATCGCCGATGCTGAGTCACATTGGACTAAGAAATATAAGTGGGAGCAATATGTTTGTTTGTTATTTAAAAACAAGTATACCCATTTACTCTTTGAGTACAGGGTATAAGAAGAAAGAGAAGCTGCTGATGTATGGTCTCCGTTCCTCCAAACAGCACACATACCGGTTTTGTTTTAAAATTTAAATTAAAGCAATGAGCATACCTACAAGTAGTACTCGTATAAAGCCCAATAAATTAGTATTTCAATTTTTCAATAAATCCTAAATTTTATGGTTAGCCAGATAAAGCTATTGTGGAATATCTTTTTGGACACCTGAAGCTAAAGTTGAAAGCCTCGACTTGGACCTACCCTGTACCTATGTGTACAGACAGACAGGTATGGCTAAATGGACTCAATTTGCCATGTTAATCAAGAAAATACCTATTTACATTGGGGTGTCTGGCCAGTTACATTCTTCACTTTGCATAAACCTAATATAGCCTATACAGATATCAATATAGAGATTGACTTAGGCCGACTATTTTTGCTTTTAAAACCTTTTAAATCAAATCACTAACAGAAAGGGGCCATAATTTGTTTAATTAAAGATATGTTTATTTAATACAACTCTCATTAAAAGTTTTATAAACTGGAACTGGAACTGCGTTCCAAAGTAAACAGGACTTTTTGAAGCTAGCGCCCCCTGGTGGCGCTATCTATATGTCGACTGGTGCGCTAGAATCTGCTATCTTTATCGATTGTTCAGTGAGATTTCATGACATTTCATCGATTGGAAGTGAAGTTATTGCGTTTTAAGTGTCAGTATGTTTGTGTTATCGGTGCGAAAATGAGCTTCGAACAAAAAGCCAACATTAATTGATGGAACAAGTTTATGGCGATGATTGCCTATCCCGTAGCAGAGTGCACGAGTGGTTTCAAAGTTTTCAAAGTGGTCGTGAGGACTTAAATGACGATCAACATGTGGGCCAATCAAAATTTGTGATCACCGAAAATTCCATCGAAACTGTGCGTGAATTCATCAAAAATCAGCCGAAATCATCATTGAAATTGATGGAAATGGAATTGAACATTTCCAAAACATCGATTTATCGCAATTTAACCGAACATTTGTGTGTGCACAGTTTGTTCCGCACAAATTGACTGACGACCAAAAATTGCTCTCATCGATCGACGCTTGTGACCGATTATTTGACCAGAAATCATATTTTAACCATTAACCACTCGCCGTATTCACCTGATATGGCACCGTGCGACTTCTACCTTTTCGGAAAAATGCATTTGCCCATGAAAGGAAAGCGTTAAGCAGACGTAGAGGCCATTCAAAAGGCTTGCAACGAGCTAAAACACTCGTTCAACAAGCTTTTGGATCGTGCAAAAAGCTGTATTGAAGCAGAAGGAGACTTTTTTGAATAAAATAAATTGATTTTGCCGAAAAAACCATTTGTTCTGTTTTTTTTTTTTTAAGTCCTGTTTACTTTATTTACACACCTTGTAGTTTGATAGACTTGTTTTACAGAGGTCCATCACAGATTTTCAATTGTACGCGTATGCTTCAAAGTTTGAACCGGAAACTCGTCGAGATAGCTCTGCTTCTGATATATGCCCTTGCCTTCCCATATTTTCTTAGTGAAATGCCAGCGGTCAGTTTACTTGAATCTTCATACCCATACTCGTTGCTATGCATAATATATGTGAAGGTGTTAATTGGATTCCGAGAGTATTAACATATTTAACGCACAAATTTAAGAAAAGGTAATTGCAGAGTTAGAACTCAATAATGACTCTGCGCCCAGACGCGTGTGCGTGTGAAAAGTGTTGAGCTTGAATTATTATTTTAAGAAAAAGTGACACAAACAGTTGAATTTAAAAGCCTCGTTTAAGTGCGAGTAAAAGTATATACTTGTAGAAATATGTATATGTATTCCTGAATACAATCATGACTATAGCTGATTCGTTACACTCGCTCCATTATCTGTGGTTGGCGCTTGTCAAGATGTGGCCCCCGGCTAGCGGTCACCACTGTGCATAATTGCGGTGCAACGAAAGCCGACCGCCTATCGCCGATCAGTCGATCGCTCGCAAAATGTTACATAACGAAAAATAATAATAATTTGAGAGAAGGCAATAAAAGCAAAATTGCATTTTCACGCAAGTGGAAGTGAAATGTGCAACGATGACGACCGAAAGCCATGTAGTTGCAATATTTCCTCCACACAGTCGTGGCTGGAGGAGGGGGGCGGGGAGAGGAGGGGAGGGTAGGGAGGCGGAAACTGGCGTGCCGTCTCCTCCCGAACAATACAAATTGCATGCCGAAACCGAAACCGAAACTGAGCTGAGACTGAGGCTGAGACTGGGGCTGAGACAGACAAGAAAGCAAATCGCCTATGCGAATACCTGGCCAGCCAGTCAGCCAGGCAGTCAACCAGTTTCACTTGCGAAAGCAAACAGCTTCCATTTCATTCGATAGCCGACCGTCGACTGCTGGAAACGCGTTCCGAGGCGCACTCACCAGGCCGCGATACGGGTTAGAGACCGAACTGAAGTGCAACAGGGAAAGACCATTAGCATTTGAAGAAAGTGAGCCCAGAGCCCGCAAAATGAAGGCCGCCGATTTAGACGAGCAGTACGCACGATTCCCAGAGATTAGGCGTGAGGAGGTGCAGAAATTGGTCGATTGGGCGTGCGCCCAGCCCCACATATCCAAGGATTTCTCTGAAGCCGAGGCCCTGCACTTCTTCTACGCCTGCAAGTACAGCATGGGGGTTTCCAAACAGGTCCTGGACACAAATCTCACAGCCCGCACCCACCTGGAGGAGTTCTTCTGCAACCTAGACTGCGAACGACCCGAAATCAGGCGGGCCATGAAAACAGTGTACGTGTATTTTGTCTATTCTTGTCCTGCTCTCGTAATATACCAATGTTAAATGCCCTTCCAGGTCCATCGTACCGCTACCTGGCGCAACGCCTGAAGGTTACCGTGTGATTGTTGCCAGGCTCGACGATTTGAATGCCTCGAACTTTAATTACGCAGACTGCATGAAATTGTAAGTACGCGCTAGGATCTAAAAAGGATCCTACATTAAACCCCATTTTCACTGACTGCTGCGAAAGTATGAGTTGCCTTTCCACATTTGATTCCGATTTGAAAGAGGTTTTAAATTCGAATCTTTTTCATTCCCATACGAGAGCCATTTAACAGCAAGCCTTTAATGGACTGTGCACCCGTATTTCTATTCGGTCCTATTTCCCTTTCTGAATTCGACCAAATGATGGGAATCGAAATTGGCGAATGATGTCGAAGCTACTGCCACACTGTCTACTTTTGTAACCAAATAATTGAATTTTCAATTATTTCAGCTTTCTTCATTCCATTTAATTCAGTGCAACCTCAAACTTAAAATACATATTTAAAACGTGGGACCGGTTCTGCGAGCCTTCAAATATGACAAAGACAAGCAATTAAAACAATAAACAAATCCTACTCCAACTTAGGACCAGTTGCTTAATGCCAATTACCAGATTTGCAACAATTGCCGGCCAACTCGTCGTCAGATGGAGACCCCTCCATGTCCAGTCAATCAAATAAGTACTATAGTATATGTTTATATTAACATATAGTATATATGTATAGTAGCTACATACTCTCTATACTAGGTATGCGAGAGTATGGATGGGACGTGTGTTTAGGTCGATGTCAGATAAAAATGATCATTTGCGTTATAATGGCCGGCAATTAAGCTCAAATAACGATGTATAAGCGTTACAAGTTGACTTATGGACATATGGACATACTTGTACAATACACTCGTATATACTTGTATGCATGTTTGCTTGTCGTGCATGTCTAGGGTTTGGGGCTTTTAGGCACACGTGCATTGTGTTTTGTTTTTGCATTTCAGGTATTGCATGATATTCGATTTCTGGATGTACGAGGACGGCATACAGCCGGGTCATGTGATCGTCATGGATCTGAAGGGCTGCTCGTTGGGGCACATTGCACGCATCGGGTTGCTGCAGATGAAGAAGTTTCTCTTCTATTTGCAGGTAAACCCTGTTTAGTTTCGGAAACTAGCGGCAGACTATAGCTATCCTATGTATTTTCAGGAAGCGGCCGCCATACGTCTAATCAGTTTTCATTTCATTAACATTGTGCCCTTCATGGATAAATTGCTCGCGCTTATGAATCCGTTCATGAAGAAGGAGCTGATGAGCATTTTGTTTTTGCATAACGACATCAACGACTTCTACAAGTTTGTGCCGCGTGACATGCTCCCCAAGGACTATGGAGGTCCTTTGGAGGAAATCAGCATATCGAAAGGTACATATATAGTACAACCTGAAGTTGAGTCATTATCATTATTTTTCTGTCCCCACCTAGAGATATTCTATAACAAACTGCTGGCGAATCGAAAGGAAATGCTGGAGTTTGAGAAGCGCCATCAGGTCAATGAGAAGCTGCGTCCCGGCAAGCCGAAGAACGCCTCTGACCTCTTTGGCATCGAAGGTAACTTCAAAAAACTGGACATAGATTGACAAACGAGTCTTTATTGTCTTATGTAGTGGTTTGTGTGTGTGGTGTCAGGCTATTTATAAATACAACAACATTTATGACCATTAAATTTTTTTTACAAATTGCATTTTATTGTAGACATACATACATAGTTATGTATGTATTTCGTAGTGATCATCGGAACAATAGTGCTGCTCTCTATCCTATATATGTATATATATTTATATAGCTACGTTTTAAATATAAATGATGTGCGGATGGGGAAAATATACACATGTCGCTGAACCTATTGATGCTGACGAATCTTCTGATAGCTGAGTTCCGGTATGACATTATGATTATCGATGCTACATTGGAGAATTGAAGATTTTTCGAAAATGTTTGTATGTACATGTGCTTTTAAATTATGTTGAATATTTATTTTCCCCACGTCTTTAAAATTAAGGGAGAGCTCAGATTATATCTGCATCGGCTGTGCCATTTGAAATTATTTTAACCAATTACAGAATCGGGGCTATTCTGGTTTTCACTTCTCATTTCTCTTCAAATTTTGGATGCGATAGAAAAATTATAATTATATTGGAGAAGAGATTTTCAATGTATTCATCATTTATGAATCTAATCAGAGTTCTTATTACTACATCCTTTCTGGAGTTCCTTCTTGAGGATGGCTTGTAATATCTAATATCAGCACATAAAAAATACTGCCCTAAATTAATATCTCTTCGATAAAATGAATTAAGGTAAAAGTTTGTGATAAAATCGAGCATATCACTCTAAGGACATCCATCTGTTTGATAGGTATATACAGTAAAAGCATAAGATGTCACCTTAGCATGCCAGGAATATCCACCTGCTCCTAAGCAGGTTGCCTATTGTTTGAAAACTGGATTAATTTGGCTCTGGCGCATGCCCTGGGCATTGTTGCCAATGTTGTTGTTGCGGCCGCGGTTGTTAATCTTAGCTGTATTACGTCCTGTCTGCTTTTGCGTCGACTCGTTACTCATCAGTCCATACGATTGGCTCTGGTTCGTGCTGACCTGGATGGGTAACTAAAATGATTGAATGCTTAGTCTCATTGTATGGTTAGGCGCAGTGGCATAACTTACGGGTATATTGTAACGCTGTATGGGCCCCGTTGGAGCTGCCTTGGCGCCATAGTTGGTGAGAGCATTGCGTTGGCTGCTCATGATGGTGGTGGTGGTGTGATGCTGCGTTGGAGCAATTAGTGTGGCGGAGGATGCAATGCTGTTGTGCGACATTGTGACCGTGGTGGGCGGTATGGAGGGCACGGCTCGCACATACGTGTTGGTGTTCGGTATCTTAAGGACTTCCGTATTGGAAGCACTGACAACCGAAATCAGTGGCTGTTGCCACTTCTTGTTGCCGACAACGGCAGCAACAGTTCCCACTGGTGCCACTGACACGACGGTCGTTGCTCCGCCAATAGTCTTGTGGTACTGATTTATATTTGTGGCAGACATAGGCTTAGGCTTGCTACGAGACGATTCAGCAATTTGCTGCGCTTGCCCGCAGCTCATTGAGTGACGGGCCCAATGCACCTGCTGGCATGGATAGTCGCAGTAGGAGGTGTTCCAACAGCAGTACAGCTGCGCCTCGCGCATGCAGTTGGCACACCACTGTTTCTTCTTTGTCTCCTCCACGGCTCGCATGCGCTCCTGCACGCTCTGCTGCCTCAATTCGTTGATAACACGCTTATTCTCATTTTCTAACGTCTTTCGCATCTCGCGGATCATCAAATCAGTGGAGCGTTGCATATCCGCCAGCTGTCGCTCGTAATGCTGCTTAATACGCTCGTTTTCCAGGGTGAGGCCTGTAATCCGTGCCTGCAGCAGGCTGGGCTCACTTGCTGCCAGGTCAGAGAGCGTGTCCTCAATAACGGAAATGAAGTAGTCCGTGATCTGTAAAGCAATTCCAAATGCGTTTAAAATGGCCATCTCGACAACAGTTCTTACAAAAGCATCAAGGCCTTACCTTGTGGGCATTTTCCTTCAGCCTCTGTGAGACTGGTCCTGCCTGCGCCGGATAGATGCTCGCTCCGTCGGATTGTAGAGGTCCGCGCGGTCGAGCTGTCAGCTTTGGCGGTCCACCGCGCAGCAATATTTCGCTGAGTGCCGTTCCGACTCCTTGAGTCATGAACTCGCCTGCAGTTGAGTCGGCAGTCGCCGCTGATGGGGTTGATGCCGGTTGCATCCCCATGGTTTCGCTGGGGACTCCATTTGCTGTTACAAAAGTTGTGGTGTCCGCACTGGACGTTGATATTGTCGCCGTAGAGGAAGGGGTCACAGTGAGTCCAACTAGAGGTGGCGGCGGCTGGGGAATGCTTTGCATCGGCCCAGCATTGGTGCACACATTTGTATTAGAGGACTGCAAAGTGTTCTTCGACACGGCCGTAAGTGGCGGGACGGGTATGGTCATGAGGCTGGTGCACGGAATATTGCTGCTGTTGGTGCTGCCGCCATTGGAGTTGCGTGGCAAATGCGGTGACTGCGCCGCATCGACGGGGATCACGGTCATAAAGGAAGGATTTGACTTTAGCAGATTGGAGGATGTGCAAGGCGGCAGCAAAGAGGCGGGTGAAGACGACGGCACCGGGCTCATCAACGTGTCATTGTTTAAAAAATGAGAAATCGCTGATGCTTGAGCATTCGTGTTCGTGGGGGGAAGAGCTTGTGATGGGGATCTATTGAGCGGAGTGTTGTTCGTTCCCACCATAGTTTGTTTGTTGGGTGGCGACGGGGATAGCGCAGATGGTAAAGGCGATATCAGTGACTGCGCAGCTGCCGGTAATGGTCCGTGGACTACCCCCCTCAAGCTGTTGCGTTTGGAACTTGAAACTTCTAGAGATTTGTTAGCGGTATCTGCAGCCTCCTTATTACTTATGCGCTTTATAGTTGTGTCGCTCACAAAGCGAACAAAAGAATCATGGGCTTCTGTGGCTGTGATCATAACATCTGACCGACTGGGCAATGCAACCGGTTGTGGAGGCGGTTGTAGCGGTAGTGGGGCAACAGGCGGATCATCCACTGGCTCTGGCTGTTTGTTACAATTTTCCACCTGTACTTCATCATCGCTGATGATCTCCTCCTTGATGTTCATTAAAAGTCCTTTGCTGGGTGCAGCAGGCGTAGTTGTTGTGTTTGCCGCATCAGAACGCTGTGCCGTATTCGACAAAGCAGATGTGGTTGAAATTGCAGTCGATGTTGGGGCTACTTCATCGACTTTTTCTTCATTTACATTGGTCAAGTGTGGGGAAGTATTGGGAGCAGGTTGAGGAGCTTCTTCTGTATCTTCCGGCTCTGATAACACCTCCGTTTTGATTTCAACAAATGGCACCACCTTACTTATTAGCTGCTGCTGCTGCCGCTCTAGGTCCAGCTGTTTAGTCGCAGCTCCAGCAATGGCAGAGGAATTATCAGCAGGTGGAGCCGACTCAATTTGTTTTGGAGTGGTGCTGGATTCGTTTGGCTTCGCTACTGGCTGCTCGCGAGAAATCTTCGTAATCGTCACGCCCTGCCGCCGTTTAACGAGCTCCACAACGGAGAGGACGTCAGAGGCAGGATCTGGAGGATCCAAAGCTGCAGCAGTTCTCTTTTCAGACAACTCTTTAACTTCTTCCATAGCGTTCTCCAGCTCAAGCTGCTTGCGCGCGTGCTTTCCTCGCCGTCTGTGCTCTCCCTGCTGACTCGTCTCGCTGGTGGCGCTGGCGTCGCTAAGGGAATGTTTTCGTTTGGGCGCAATCTCTGGCGACTGACGCACAGCAGTGCCCTGTTTGGATATCAACTTGTTGGCCTCCAAAGACTTTCGCTTCAGGATGACCGTGCAACCGCGGGACTCGGACAGCGGGTCTGCCAGTTTGGGAATAACCTCGTAATTGCTGCTGTGCGGCTTTATGTGCTCTTTGACGGGTTCTGGAAGATCCGCCTGTTTTGACAGCTTGCTTGGACTGGCGGAGTGATCTGATTCGTTGCCGGATTCGATGGCTTTGGTCTTTTTAACAATGGAGAGCTTGTCACCCGCAGTCTTGCGTATGAGAAACTGCAGTGGCGTTTTGTTTGCCGGCATTAATTGACGCTTGATACACTCGTGCACGCCGGGCATCATTTGATCGAGCTGTTGGTCCTCCTCGAGCGGATCGTAGGGCGTGCGGTAGGGTGCATAATTAAAGCTGCCAATTTTACTTTTTATCTGCTCAATGTGAACCTCCACCTCCTTGATACACTCGGCCAAATCCCGAGCTGAGCGCCTACTTGTCTGTGTATTGGGATCCTGAGCCGAATAGAGGAAACAATCCTTTATCGGCACATTAGCGCGATCATGCTTGCCAAAAAATCGCACATTGACGAGCGAGTTGGGACCAAAGCTCATTGCTTTTGCGGGCCAATATGGAAAGCCCTTAAGCTTGGCCCAAAGCAACAAATGCGGGTGGGTACATACTTTGACGAACCACTCATCACTCGAGTTAGCATTAAGATAGCACTCAGCACATGTGTCGATCTCGTTTGCTTCTTGACGGCATACCTTTACCACCGCTTTTGAGGCCTGTTCCACCTTGATGTCTGCAAACGGATAAGTCACGTGAATAATTCGGGGAGATGCCATAGGCTACTAGCTTACCACCAGCGTCCAATATCAGTGCATTATGCTGCATCCATTTGACCTCGCTAAGAAACTCATCAGCACTGTGGAAGGCGCGATTTCTGATCCGCTCAGCCAGACTGGCAAAATTTACCGGGTTAACAAAATATTTTTTATAGCTCTGCGGCAAAACTTCGTCTGGCGCACGTAATTTGTAGACCTGAAAAAGAGAGAGAGAGCGCAAATGCGTTGTGCGGGTTAAGTAAGAGAGGCACAGATATGGGCAAATATTTGAATTCGCCGAATTAAGAGTGCTGTGGCGAAGAGCTATTAAAGAGCTGCAGCGAATTTCTATTGTAAACAAACAAGTTTGACAGCGACGTCGCGACGTCAGTTGTGGACAGCGAGTACGAGGCGAATAATGCCAACAACAAAAATGAAGTACTCAGCACAAAGACCGATGCCAGAGGCCACTCTATGAGCAAATTTAACCTCAAACTACAAAGTGCACAGCGAGATGGCACACACACATAAATACATACTTATGTATAATATATGTAATTATATCTCTTTTAAGTGGACCTGCATCTGCGCTTGCCCGCCGTTCCTTTCACCGAAAGGTGCTGTCCGTTCGACAGCCGAGTTCCTGTTGCTACTGTTTATATACATATAGTATGTACATACAGTATGTACATATGTATGTATGCATGCATGTAGTTATGTATTTATGATTCTGCAACTACGTTTGTATGTACATATATGTATGTGTGTGTATGTATGTATGTGTCTGCGGTCGGTCTCTGTAATTGTTTTTAACGCCCTCAGAAGCGTCAACATTAAATTAATTAATTAATTCCTCGCACATTTTAAGCATATTTAACGTGCGTAAGTTTCATTTCAACTACATAATTTACTTCAATTTAAAGCCACGCCGTCGTCGACCCAAGTGCAAAATGCGGCATTAATTCGTTTCTTTATGTGTAGATGAGGATGGGAATGGGGACGGGACTCTGTTTCATGTTTGTGCATAATATTGTGTACGTCTTGGATTAGAAAAACAAACAACACATTCCGAGCTGTCATGAAGTTATGGAAATTTGCAGGACTTGGTACCACAGAAGCATTTCGACTGCATAATAAAGGCGAACATTAACAAGACACTGGCATTGGAAAATCACCTATAAATATAAACAAATAACACCCACATACATTCATTCATGAGCATGGGCTTAAACGAAACGTTAATTAACGTTCGTTAACGATACAAGTTATACATACATACATACATACATACTCGAACAGGCTGTTTAATTTGCATATTTATATATGTAATTAAACACATTTAAATGAACTAAGCCGCATTTGTATATAATTAATATTACAGATATTGTATTTATTATATACCATACAAATATATATCTGTGCCTAACGTGGAAATGTTTAATCGGACATGTCCTTATACGAAAATTGTGGTGTTGAAAAAAATTAAAAAAAAAATTAATCACACTCCATCCAACACACGCAAAGTAAATATTAGCTCTCAAAGCATATCTGAATCGATATTGCCAATTTCAATTAAATATTAATGTGTATCCCAGGGGTGAAAAGGTGCTATGAATCCCAGAAGGCGACGTCACAGACCCCACATCTTGATTATTTATTTATTCTTGATGAGCAGGACAAGACCGGTCGTTCTAGACATGCCTTTCTTTGTATGAATGAAGTGAAATATCTCTGAAACTATAAAAGCTGGAGTCACCAAATTTATGGTACAAATACTTGGCGGTGAAAACTTCAAAACATTAATGGTTCCTGTATGGTATGGCATTCGGTATGAAAAGGGTTGGTAAAATTTAAGTACATGTCTATTTTTGTAATTCCACGTACAACTTCATAAATAGATAATACAATTTGCGAATTTGTTAAACACCAAGATGACAAATTCGTACTTCATACATACAAGTATATATATCAAACAAAATTTAAAACTTTACCAAACATTAACCCTCTACAACAATTTGCAAAGAAAGAAGCAACAACATACATACATATGTATGTAACTCAAGAAATTATTTTAAGAGGCGAGCCAGACAACGAAGTGCCAAAAGACGATTCGGCACAGCAACGAACGTGACAACGAATCAGGTGTCTATACGAGAATGTTTCGTCATCAAGAGAGAGCGGACAGAAATCGTGGATGTTGATGGGAATTGTTGTGATACTGAATGCGAGGCGAGCGGCGTAACGTGAGTGCGCAGAGGCCTCAATAGAAGACCCACATTTGCGCGAGTGTTTGTATGTATGTATGCATATGTATATGCATGTAAGTATATATGTACATATGTATGTATGTGTGTATGTGCAAAATATTTTCGCGTGGTTTTCGAAACAGCGGTATATGACATTCGCATCTTGTACACATATATCTAGATACATATGTATGTATATGTATATGGATGAAGAAAACGTATGGATGGACAGACGGACGTTTCTAGTATGGCGAGATAATGAAAGACGGACACAATGTGGGATGTTCAACTCACCCCGCGCACATGCTTCATCCGCTCGAGCGCATAGTTGAGCAGCTGGCTCAGCAGATCCACAGAGACATCGTTGCGTCGCGACCTGCAAGGAAGACAAAGGTGGTCAGGATTTGCTCCACGTCTACGCTCTAACGGGTGGCACACTTACCGCTTGGGCGCACCTTCGATCAGCATGCACTCCGGACACTTCCAAGTGCCGTCAAATTTCGAGGAAGCTGGACGTACGCAGAAACTGTGAAACGATCGCAGACATTTGGAGCACGGCACTAGCTTGCCGCACTCACGACACTTCCAGCAAAAAGGATCCCATCCATCCTAAAGCGAACAGAAAAAAGCTAGGTGAAGGAGCCTAAAAGATCATTATAAAAGGCACTCACCCTTGGAGGCGGTTGCCACAATTCATTCAACCGCTGTTCCACCTCCTCGATCCCATTCAGAATCTGAGACGAATGGGTGCTGCGCGTGGGAAGTGCGCTTGCATCTGATGGGGTGGAAATGCTCGGTTCAGTATCCGTAATTGGGCTAGCGAGCCATTCGCCACTGGCCATATCTTCGACTACATTCTCAACGTCCGGCTCCTGAGCCGCCTGCATGTCGAGCGCCTCGTCGACAGGATCGTTAATTATGCGATCTAGAAAGGCGCTGTGCTTCCTCGCGAATTCCTTGTTTTCAGTGCGTAGATTGGTGCGCCGTGGCACCCGGTCTTCATTTCCTAACGATATGGTTTTGCTGCGGGATCGAAATCGTGTGGCGGAGATCGCCTGATTGCTACTGCTATCATACGGACTAAGCTCAGCGCTGTCTCGGTACTCGCTCACATCATAGGTCACGGAATGTCCTCGCTTCTTTTGGGCTTTGCGTTTACTGGGCTGCAATGAGTTCGATTCGTGGCGCCACTCCTCGTCCGACTCCCAACCAGATGCTGGGATACTCTTGCTACGTTTCAGCGCCCCCCTTTTAAGTGATTTCTTTCTGTGACCATTACGGTCTTTGTCGTGACGATGGGAAGCAGGCAGGCTCTGGGAGAGTGCCTCCTCTATTTTGTGCATGGCGACGGATCGTGATTTGCGACGTTTTAGCGTTGAGCCTTCGCCCACATAACCCTTGAGCACCTTTGACTCATCGTGCGATTTCATTAGCGCTATCATTTCCTTGTGGACGCGCACCTTTCCTTCGTGCTTAGGAGTTGATGAGTGGCCCGTTTTGAGCTCAGTCGCTTGATCACTTGTCCCTCGCGATACCTTGGTCAGCTTCATCGTTAGTGAATGCCCACTGCCTGCAGCAGCCGTCGTGGTGGAGGTGCTGGAGTCCCCGGAGCTGGCCCCGTTCACGTTTGTGGGTGGCGCACTGACCATATATTTCTGTCGCTTGCTGGGAAACTGTTCCACTTCATTACTAGTGGACATTGACATGGGCTGGGGACTTTCGATAGCAGATATCGCTTCATAGCTGGGGCGCGGTATGGAATGGGCACTGTCCTCATCACTGCTGTCGGTTTCCATGGTATTCTTAAATTAGCTGCAAAGATAGTATTCGTAAATAGATGTGGAACACAAAATTGAAGCTATTCTATGGCCCATGAGGGAGCCCAGCTTTAAATGCGAACACAACAAGCAGAAGCTTCTTAACGCTGTCGATGTTATTTCAACCGGAACAACAAGAACAACTGTGGCAAATTGTTAAATGTACATCTAAATATGTATGTATGTTCATACATACATACATATGTACTTGGAAGACTGAGAGCGCTGCAATTTGCAAATTCGTGCCCGGGGTGTTATGTCGATAAAAACTAAAGTGTCACGATGGCGGATGGCTATGCCTCTTGTTAATGGTTGTTGTTGTTGCTGCTGCGACGGTTGTTTTTTGACGTAACTACATACATACATACATATAGTATATTCAAATGTACATATGTATGTAAATATGTATTATATACATATGCATATGTATCATGCAGATTATTACGCTCTATTCGTTGTTTTCCACGTTGCGGAGGTGTGCGAGTATGTCACTGTAGCGAGTAGTACTCGCTGGGTGCATTGTTTTTCGCAATTGGCCAAACAAATGTTGCAAAGATAGGAAACTTTTCAAATTGTTTACAATGTCCCAGACACGTAAATTGTAAATGCAGTTTAGTTTAGTTGAGTTCTTTGGCACAACTGGCGGCAGGTAAAACAGGAACACAGTTGCACACACGATTTTTTTCTCCCGCTCTCTGTCGACGTTCCTCTCGTGGCAGGCAACGCAACGTTGTGTAGTTATGTGGACGTTGTTGTTGTGGCGCGATTTCCCGTTGGTTTTTCTTGCTTTACGCTACTACTGCTGCTTATTGTTATTACTTGGTGCAACTGTGAATATGAAAGTACATACATATACATATGTGTGAACAAATATATGTACATACATATGTACGTATAGTAAGGTATGTGCATGCACACCACCGCATCATCATTATCATTTGTCTTACCAATTTTCTCAGTCCGATCCGAGCAGTCTTCTGTGTGTAACTGTTGACCTATTTTCCTTGTCTTTTAGCTATGACGTACGCTACTCTGTTACTATAATTACAAATCTACAATATTTTTTTGCGTCTTTAATTACATTTTAGGTAATTTGTCGCAGCTATGTATCAAACAAAAACCAATCTCAATGCGTCGGCAAAATGACTGAAAAATTTAACGAGAGTCGAATTCGCTTCGCCTTCCAGATGTTTTGGCTCTCTGTAGCGGCGGTGGTCATGCGAGCATGCTACAACTTTGTTGCTATCGCTCTCCCTTAATTTGTTTTAAGCTGCTTGTTGCGTTCTCTTTTGTTATTCTGGCGCTGCGGCGAAAGTTGGACAGCTCAGCTGCTTTCTCTGCGCGGCGAGCGTGAAGCACGCAAGTAAATTTATTTTTTGTGTGTACATACATATTTACATGTTATTGTATGCTGTTCTTTATAAATACATGCACATTTACATATATACACATATATATATGTAAATGCTTTCAGATATGTACATATAATCGTGTTCATATATACATAAATATGGATGTATGTGATTATGTGAAAGTATATACATATGTCTAAGTATACATACATACATATGTATGTATAAATAATTTGCTATTAATATTTGTATTCGGGAGTGTTCATACATACATACATACATATGTAGCCGTAGGCTGCTGCCTTCATATTAGAGACAGACATTCAATAATATTATTAAGGATGTGGTGAACTTATTTAAAATTAATAAGAGGGAACGCAGCATGTACTTACATACATACATACATATGTATGCATGTACATACATATGTATATGTAGGTATGGACATATGAATGTATGTACACATATTTTTTCAATTTATTAGATGTATAATGAGATTAAAAAAATTGGGAAATTAGGTAATAACACTCTGTGTGTTCTATTTTAGATAACTGTTAATGGTTTTGATCACGATTCTTAAAAATCAATTCCATTTCGAAACTGCAATTTTTATTCTCCGCGTTTCAATAAGAACCTATTGGAGTGTTGGAAAATACGAAAATGTTTTGTTATGTCAGAAGTCGTAAGACAAGAAGAGAGGACTTCAATTTTAATTCAAATTTAATTAAATTAAAATGTTTAGCATTTTTTTAATGAAATCAGTTATTTACTCACTTCCTATCTGTTATATATACATACATACATATATGTTTGTATATGTACTCGTACATATTCGACTTAATTTCCACATATCAACAGTGGTTTGCATATAGAATTAGTATTGACTCAGCACAAATCGAATCTTGGCAAAGGGACGACAGGTGGCCAAGAGGCGAAGAGGTTAATGTTATTGCCAATACATAAAATGTCCAAAACTCTTTTAGGTGTCATAAAATACAACCTATGTTCTTATTAAATTTAATGGCAGCCTATTGCTGGCTGGCCCCTTTACACGCAGAGATGCACATTAGAAATTCATGTGCTGACATCTGTGTGCCACAACCAGGAGAAGGGCAGCGTTGTAAGGTAAACACACACACACACACACACATTTACTCGCATACACCATCATTATGGGGACATTTATTGGAGGGGCACTCTTATAGGGGCCCATGTGGGGCGTAGGTAAATCAACTTTTCGCTAGCAAGACTGTAAAACTTCTGAGCAATTTTCATATATTCATGGCAAATTATAATATGCATCACAAAGAAGAGTCTGTCTCAAACAAAAGTTTCCCCATGCAAGGCCATATATAAGGGCGACAGCCTCGGAATATACATTACAAGTATATACACATTCATGGATGTACATATACTTATTCATAGAATCCAGAACGCACATGCAGCATCGACTGTGCGTAAACATATATGCATGCACACATAAGTCCTATATATCAATAAATGGAGATTACTTACATAATTTGTATCCCAAAATCCAATCTGTTAAAAAAGTTGTTTTGGCCTCTTTTTATTTTTGGTGTTCGTTGCTGCCGTGCAAAGTTTTTTTTTCGGGAGTGTTCCTCGGGGAGCCATTCAGTTAATATTTCGAACATAAATTTGCCAAACAACAACTTTAATCAATGGCCAGGCGGGTGCAAGTGTTGTCCATTGGTTCCCGAACTGAACGATGATGGCCGGGCAAGCGATAGCCGAGATCCGTGCTCATACAACCTGAAACCGAGCCGAGTCGAGCGAACTGAGTCTAGCCGTTGCTGCATTATCTATTACATTTACATATTGCTCTCATTTTCAAGAGTTTGGATTACGATTACGGGCATTCTGGCAAACATAAATTGCTTCACCTAACGATGGTTGTCCACATCTGAACTTTAAGGCACATTGTCTGCGCCCAGACGCACACACCATTCATTACATATAGAGTTTCATTTCGAAGATCTCGCACCACAGGCGGCACACTCACGTACTTGGCTCAATCTCGGACTTGCATAATCACGACCATGGAATTTATAGAAAGCTTTGCGGCACCAGCACCAGCACCTGAGTCACGACCAGACAATCCAATTCTTTGGCCACTCCATGAACAATGTTTTAAGCTGATGCTGTTGTTTTTGTTTCTGCTGCCATTGCTGTCCAGCCTTCACATCCCGACCCATTATTGAGTCGTTGCCAAATGCAAAAACATAAAGTCGGCGCACATATTGCCATGACCACTTACTGTGCCTGCCAGCCTGTGGAGAGGTCCTGCGCTTGTGGGGGCAGGCGACGCTGAACACTGAATCAGCAGATGCCCATTTGCACAAATTATAAATTTATATTTTGGAACATTTCAATAAAATTGCAACTATTATTTAATATGTTGATGTACTAACATATTGCATAACTAACAGCATTTTGAAATATTATACAATTTGTTGACAACGATTGTGGATTTGAATAGTACTTTAAACATTAAGGAAAAGTCTTGCAAGAAAATCTCTGTCTCTGTCTCGTAACTTTCCATATCCCACATTCACAATGAAAAGCTTATTATAGAAAGTCAAATTTCAACCAGATTCTGACTTTCTTCTTCATTTAAAATACGATTCCAGTTCTTAGGTAAACATAAATAAGTACAACATAAATTCGATCCCAATAATTTTGAGTTAATTGGAAATGCGACACAACACTTGAAGCTTGAATGCTCTTCTTGTAAACATTAATTTAAATGCAGCCAACGGACAATTCTAGTATCTTATAATTTAAATAAATTAAATGATCAACATACAACAATAATTAACATTTTATCTAAGGAAAGCTTTAGAAATTTCCGTCAAAATATACATACGAGTAATGCTAAGAACAAGAAGAAATCTCATTCTGATTTCAATTCCCTCAATGTAGTCTATAACAACCGACAAGCAGCCGATTAAATATCTCAAAGATTAGAATATAAACCCAAAAATAATCTCGCCTAACAAAGACAAAATTTCAAATCAATGTAATGTTTGAAAATATTCAAATATCTACATAGAATCCTTAGAAGTACGGACCAGATACATGTACATATTTAATGTTATTGTTACGATTATTCACATATTCCGACTTCTTCTGCAGAGCCGCTTGCTTTTTCAGGTGACAGAAAACTATCTTCGGCTGATTCATATGTTTTTGTGTCCTTGTTTCCGTTGAATGATGATTTACTCGGCGTACTTGTCGACACTTATGCTGTCATATTAGCATTTTAATTGACAAGTCGCGACGTAAGCCAAATTGTGCGTGGCTTTGCTAATTGGTGTCATATTAATTATCGGAGTTATTATTCAGTAATACTATATGTTCAAATATTCAAAATGAATATTAAATAATTGAGCAAACGCAAAGATTTTGTCGTTGTCTGAGTTTTTTTTTTTTCAAATGGGAAGCTAATTTGGTGTGAAATCTGGAAAATTGTGCGAGCCACACACTTGCGTAGCAATCTTTGGTTTTTCGGGCGGCATTTCGTTTTGCAACCACTGTGCGGCCGGCGACAGCGACAGAGACGGCGGCAACTGCTGCCGCAATGGGTGGAGAAACAAGAGCAATAACTGTTTGGCAAACAGATTTATTTTTTTTTGCCATGGTGGCCCCTGGTTGTGGGTCGGTTGTACACTCGCACAAATATTGGTTTCTAACTTTCATTGCCACTACAGAGCCGCCCAGTGGCCAGTGCCAGAAGCTCCTGCTGCTCCTTGCTGTCTTTCTGTTGTCCTTTGAGCCGGTGGGGTTGTGATGTGTGGGTGGCTGGATGTTTGTGGCTGGATGTGTGTGTCTAGGATTGCTGCTGCATTAAGTGCACGTTTTGCAGTCGTGGCCGAGCTGCTGTCTGTGCCTATGCCAAGTCCACATCTCAATCTGTACGCCACCTCTGCCGTCTTCAACCACAGCGCTGCGGTGCGCGCGAGCGCAGTGCATCATTTTTGCATTAGAAAGAGTGCAGGGCCATGAAAACTGTAAATAACCGCCGCTGCTGTTTGGAATGTACGCGCGGATCCTCCAACTCCCAGTCCCAATGGCGCGACTGTTGCTGCACTTGCTGGCCCGGAACTGTTTCGTGTGCTGGGCCAACCGCAAATTATGCTTGTCAAAAATGAATGTTACATTCGTAACCGTAACGTTAAGAAAAAGTAGTTTAAGGAGCTCTGGCGGACTGTGTGCAGCACTGCCTGACTGGCTGGCTGGTTGGCTGGCTGCCTGGTTGGGCAAGGTCGTAGCTGAAAATCGCAACTAAATGCGGTTGGCGCTTGCGGTTGCCAGCATCGTCTCCTTTCCTTCTGCGACCCCACACCACACCACTCGTCTCGCACCGTCTACGCCCACGCTGGCGTTGCAATCTACTACGTGCACAAATGCGTGCCAATCCCTAGAGGTCTACACATGTACCTCCATCATGTCCCCGGCTCCATCCCGCAGCCGCAGACACGTGCACAAATGAAGCTAAACATTCGATTCGGCTGTTCTTGCATTTCGAATCCCCACCAACTGCCTCTGTGCCTGTCAATGTGTGTTGCAACTATGTGTGTTGGGGCTGGATGGGCGTTTGAACATCCGCAACAGCCAGAGCCAGAGTCACAGCCGCTGCCAACATCGGTGCAAGAGCAGGAGCAGGATGCTGACGTCGTTTCTGACGCAGATGCAAAGAACTTTGACTAAATGTGTTTTGAGTGCATTAAGATGAAAACGTTA